CTTTGGGGTTTTTATCTTTTGTGATGTAACTCTTTCAAAAGTACATAAAAAAGGTTGCCAGCAGGGGTGTACATGTAAATTTATTAAATACACCTTGTGCGCCACCTAGGAACCAAATCTAGAACCTGAAACTCGAAATTTTTGCTCTGTTGCAATCGTACCCTGTTACAATTGACCCCACTCTCCCCTAATATATAAATCATATTGTAAGTAATCACCAGGTCTATGCACCACATCCCCCAACCATGTAATCGCGCGTGGACTTTCTAGTTCTGACTGGATGGACACTGGTCAGTGTACTTTAATCCAACATAGAGGGTCAAACTATCCTGTCTCAAATTGTAACAGCTCAGTTTTTTTTAATTACTGAGCCCTTATAGCCTAAAGAATACATTCGTCACTATATTTAAATGAGTTAACACAATATTTTCTTACTAACTTATTTTAAAATATGCTTCTCTAAACGGATGGAGAAAAATCTGGTAAAATTACCATATTGTATGGCAATAATATTCCTTTTAAAAAAACATAATTCTGGTTAGTAAAATCAAACTATACGGCATTTAAATCATTCATTTGGTTAATTTTTCCTCTCGTATAGCAGCGGTCTACTGGAAATTCCGGTATACAAAATTATTCTTTTCGGTATTTCAATAGAGCAATAAACAAGACAAATTTTACTGTAAACCGGTAGATTTGACCATACTTTTGAAATCAGTGTACAATGATTTACATGATATAAGTCATAAAATCTAAATCGGAAATTCAATTAAGCGATTATCGATTTCCTTACTTACTGATAAACTATAAGTATATAAGCCATTTAAATTGATACCAATCTCCAAGTTAAAAGTTTTCTTAAACCATTTCCCTAAGGATTTCTTTTTTTACTGATTCTGACAAGTTTTGTTTACTTTGAAATTTTAAAAGTTGCCGTTGTATCGTTACGTAACACTTCGGTACTTTCTTTTTATAGTCTCGGGGGAGAATTTCCAGGAAATAACTGTTTTATTTGACGTTATCACTTTGTGCGTAGAAAGATTTCAAAAAATTTTTTCTACTCTTTTTCAACTTACAATAAACCTCAAGTAGTATTATGCTGAGAAAACGTCGATATCGTTCGTAAAAGTAAATAGAAATGAAAAGTGAAGTGGGATGTTATGGTATCAAAAAACTTTAAACTTACGACTTCCTTACTTTTATTTCCCAATTCCTAATCTCAAAGTTTATGTAAAGAATACACTTTCTTACTTTCCTGCTTAGAAATTCAAAATGAAATAAAAAAAATTTAAAGAAAAAAGAAAACCCTTAAAATGATAACAGAATTTAAAAGAAATTTTTTGCATGAAACTTGCCTCCATTTTATCTTTCAGAAAGTTTAAAAGTAAAATATCAATATGAATGAAAAATGAAAATAGTAATATTTTTAAGTTTTAATGAATTAAAAACGTAATAAAATTATAATATTACATTCTATTCTTTATTGTTTAAAACTCAGTGAAAGAGAGAGACTTTTTAAAAAAATTTCATTTACCCTTATATATATGGAGGAAAAAAAAACTCTGTTAAAATATAGTATTGAAATTTTTGATAAAATAAAAAATAAAAGCTATACTTCCGCGAAAAACAAAAAGTTAGGTATTTAAACCTTTATTTGGTAATTTTTCTGTACATATGCTAATGGTTTATCGGAAATCCTGGTTTTCAAAATTACAGTTCTTATTACCACACATTTAGTAAAAAATATAAAGAAAATGAAACCAAAAAAAGATTTTATGCCATGGTCTAAGGTGTCACGATAAAATCACCAAATTTTACATTTACCAATTTTTATCACATATTACATTATATTTTATTGCTAATTTTAACAGAATCATTACCAAACTTCTACTGTAAAAATTATCAAACTTTATGGCGTCTCCCGAGAGCTAGAAACAGGTAAAATTTCACCATATCCTATAGTAGTTTTTCCCATACTTTTTTCTCAGTGTTGGAACTTTAATAGTATTCAAAAGGCATGTAGATAAATTTGCGATAGAAATTACTGCATTAAAATAACATATTTATTGTTTATATCACAATAAATGATAAAGTTTAAGTAAAATTTAGAACTTCTCCTTTTTACATGTTTGAACTTAATTCATTTGTGAATTTAAAAAAATAAAAATTTTAATTACTTGCAAAATCACTGTTTTAAATTGTTTTTTATCATTTAAAAATCCAGAAACGATGAAAAATTAATTAAATTTTAAACTTGACTATATTTTAAGAATAAAAATAATAAATATAAAATTATCCAAAATAAAACTCAGTGATAACTTTTGCTCTTAAGAAATACTAGAATATAAAAATTACGAATTAAATATGTGTTTACTTTTGTATATATTTTGCTAAATATCTCAGACGGATTCTAAATAAACATTTAATTTAGAAAATGTGCAAGAAAATTGCGCAATTCTAACGCAATATAGGAGAAAATAACGCGCAATGCATTTCTTATAGGAGAGTCGGTGCTGTGACATTTTAGCGACTTGGCGATACTTTTGATGACTTGGTGATACTTGGCGACAAAAAGATAGTTCTAGAAAATTTGAGTTACGAAACGATAGGACAATATTTACGGAGTTATACGAGAAATGTCCAAAATTATATAGAAAGTTTTTGGGTTCCGTCATCAAGCCTATATAAATGAGAGTGTACTTCGCAGAGGAGAACAGAGAACATTAGTCTCTGACTGCAATGGTGTTCTGATTTTCGAGTCTCTTGTTAACTGTCTGAGGTTTCAAAGCCTTTGATTTGTTGGATACTAGCCGGTGATTGGTCTTGTAATTGAGTGCTGAAAATTGGAAGATACTTCGAATAGATTTTTGGAATCTTAAGGACTGTTTTATTCAACTCCAATCGAAACGAACCCCTGTACTCATACAGTATATTGGATATGCAATGGTGTTCTGATTTTCGAGTCTCTTGTTAACTGTCTGAGGTTTCAAATCCTTTGATTTGTTGGATACTAGCCGGTTATTGGTCTTGTAATTGAGTGCTGAAAATTGGAAGATACTTCGAATAGATTTTTGGAATCTTAAGGACTGTTTTATTCATCTCCAATCGAAACGAACCCCTGTACTCGCACAGTATATTGGGTTAGCAAGTAAAAATTGACTTTAAATTTATGATATTGCGAAAATTTTATCAGCTTCAATTTCTCCAGAATATATCAAGAATTCCACAATTAAAAAATATAAAATAAAATGAGTTGATGGAATAATGCAAACATCAAGACCAAATTACCTATTTAAATAATTCCTAAAGAAACACAAGCAAATTTTAAAAGATACTTTATTAATTTTTATTTATATACACATCTACATATATTACACTCATTTAACAATTTTATACACATATATTTATTTATGTACATAAATTAAATATAAAATGGACTAGATATAATGCGTGTTATTCTTTACGTATGTACAATTTTGTCAAAGAATTTATATTTTATTAAATGCTGAAATACAATTAATAACTTTGATTCATTTTACAAATATAAAAGAAATATTTTAAATTTTCCTTCCGAATTCATTTATTATAAAGGCACAAAAGTGAATAAATTTTTAAAACTCCTTTCAATTGTAAATTTGCTTCACATTACTGTTTTCTGCATTTATAAATGCTTTGAAAATTAAGCAAAATGCATGATTTTGTAATTTGAAGTAATTAAACACCCAGAACTAGTAATCATTTTACAATTATTCCTTTATTTATTATCTTTTTCCGATTTCTTGTCATTCTAGCATGCTAAATCAGTATTATAGGGAGAAAGAAAAAATTGGTTCAATCAAAAGCAATATAAAAAGGTATATGAAGATGAAATTGAGAAATCAGAAGACATTAGCTTTCTTTACATATAATGCTCTGATAAGTTAAGTTATCAGACAATTTTATGAGGATGGGGCCACGATAGTTTTAAATGTTTTTACACTTTATGATTTCAACAAAAATTTTAAGTTAAAGACAGTTTATATAATTTTTCTCACTTAAAGAATAAGAGCTTCGGTAGCTCAGAGGACAGTGCTTTCGCGTCCCATTGAGGTTACTCATGTTCAAATCCTAGCGATGACTGGTCTAACCGATTTTAATTGATACTCTAACCAACAATTTTGACAATTTTTTTTGCTAAAATAACAGTATTTTGTTAAAATAACAGTCTTTTGTTAAAATAACAGTATTTTGTAAAAATGACAGTTTTTTGTTAAAATGAAGTTTGTTTTCTATTTTAACTGAAATTATCTACTTAAAAAGTGCAGTATGCATTATTTAACATGATAAATTAGGCAAAACAAAATTTTTTTGCAAAATAAACTTTTTTAAAATGAAACACCAATGGCTAGTTTTTTCCCTTATATTTAACGATTTTTTTCTGCAGTGTACATAATATTGTAATGTGAAAATATTACAATATTATGTAATTTTCTTCTATAGAAATGGCTCAGGCAGCCATTTTTAATGTGCATAAATTTTGAAAACAATTACTGAATGTTATATAAATATAAAAAAATAACTGTGAAATTAAGTCAGAAAAAAAGGAAGTGCGAAGAAAAAGCAGTTTGTCGTGTTATTCTTAGGGAACTAGATTTCACCAAAAGTTTCAAATCTTGTCGTAATGTTTCACAACAGATAACGATATCAAATGAAAAAAAAAAACTATACAACAATATCTCTATAGTAGCAGCTATTTGCAATGAAAGCGTCATTTTGATAACAAACTTAACAAGTGCCTGTTTGAGTTCATGAACACATTTCAGTGCTTAGTTAGCAGTGCTATTTTTCAGTGAGCTTCTTAACTAATTTTGAAACTTAATGAAAAAAATTCTCTATTAACCACAGCAGAATTAAATATATGAATTTAAATAAATTGATTTATTAATAACATAAATTGATTAACATATTATAATATTTTAATTAATTTAATAACAAAATAAATTAATTAAATAATATTCATGATTTGATTGGAATTTTGTATTAAATCGATTCAAAAGACGCTGAAATTTATTTTTCAAACCTGTTCGATTATTTTGTCAGATTTGTTATTTAAACCTTTGTAGATTTTTGTTACATTTTATGCTATTGATTATCATTTTCCAATAATTGGACTTTAATTACACAATACCTCTTTAAAAACTGCTCGATTTTTTTTGTCTAATTTAATGTTTAAATCTTGTAAGCTTCTGTTAAATTTAATGTAACTATAATTTGCAAGTAACTGGATTTTAATTGCATAATTAATTCATAGATACTTTAAATTGATATTGTTAAGCACCTTGTTTTTTACTTTCTGAATAAAATTAGGAAAATGATACTTCAAGTTATTTACTTATACTCTATTGAATCAATTTAAAAGACGTTGAATGTTTTAAATTTTTTTTTCTTATAAAACTGTCCGATTATTTTGTCTAGTTTAATGTTTAAAACTTGATCAATTTTGTTACATTTAACGTTATTCATTACAATTTTCAAGTAATTGGATTGCAATTACACACTTTCTTAAACACTTTAAATGAATATGACAAAAAAATAGTAATTCGTTAAATATCTTGTTTCCATAACATTTTCTCACTAAAATTTGAAAATGATAGTTCAAATAATTTACTCAAGCTCTTAAATTTTAGTAATTCAATTTTTTCCCTAGAAGAAGAAATTACTTTTATCCTAACGGTGTAGATCACAAAAATTACTAACTGCCAGTGCTTATTAATATGTTTCACCAAAGTTTGTTTCACCAAAACGTCAGTGTTATGCTATGTATTGACAATGCTCTATATGGATATGCAGAGCTTCTATGGCAGTTTTTAATAGACGGATATGTTTAGCATTCTCTATTCCGAAACGTTGCAAGTCCTTATCAGTTACACCAATCATGTGATATAGCTCAGTACAGCCATTTTTGTTCAGCAACTTCTCATAAATTGGGAGACCTAGAGATATTAACCAATCAAAAAGGCTGTTATAGTTGGCTTCAACAACTGGCTCACAACAGGAATCAGCCAGAAAATCATTTGGTACCTGAAACATAATTATGTTTTGTTTATTAAGGAAAATAATCATTACGTTGATTTAGTAAAAAAGATTCCTCGTGATTTGTGCCACACACTGCTAGTAAATTCTTGCAGCTTGTAAGGTTATAATGCCACTCACACTTATGAAACCTTAACCATTTGCTTACGGCAGGTACAACATGTGGACCACATGTGATTGTACAGCATAGTACATGTGATTGTACAGCATAGTAAAGCAAAGGGTTAATAAGTTAAACCATAGTGTGGTATTAACACGATTGTAACTTGAACAAAACATGGTTCAACATGACTTCATGGTTGCAGCAAATATGCGTAATATTATGGTACAAAATTGCAAACTGAATAACTGTTCTTTATGGTAATGACATTTCTGTAGCAAAGAATCCCCAATTCTGGTTAATAATACGAAAGTATATGGTATTTAAACCATTCATTTGGTAATTTTTTCGTTCATATGGTTATAGTTTACGGGAAATTCTGGTTTTCAAAATTATAGTTCTGATTATAATGCATTTAGTTAACAAATACAAAACTTAAAAGTAAATCAAACCAAATAAAAGGTTTTTATGCCATGCTCTAAGGTGTCACAATAAAATTTAAAAATTTTACCACATTTACCATATTTTATCATGTGTAAAAAAAGCATATTTTACACATATAACAGTGAATCAAAAGTCACCTGAGCGTTGTTAGTGGTGTCAATATCCCTTTCAAGGTTACCGTTACTATATCAGCGTTCTCGATTTCTTAAAGCTAACAATTAATTATACTAAAAAAATAATAAAATTCAAATTGTATTATAATAGTATTTACACGAATATCTCGGGAACAAGAGCAGTGGTTTGATGCACTTTTTTGGCCAATTTTCTAATTTTCGAGGGATGGGTGGCTACTTTTCTGCAATACGCAGCAAGCACACGATATAAAAACAAAAATCGATTGTTTAACCATTTCCAATAACATTCGAATGACTGAAAATTAAATAGAATTGTTTTCCTGTGACTTAGTCCACTTTTTTTTCTTTTTTTCTGTCATTTCGTAATGTTTTTTTCTCCCCTTACTTCAATTTATTTACATACAATATTAAAAAAACGTATTTTTATTGTTTCATCACTAGCTATAATTTAACCAGCATGGAAAAAAAACGCATATCTTTTCACAAACAAAAATGAAAATAGAAAAAATTATCTTCTTAGAAATCATTAAATCTAAAGAAAATCCTAAATATTTCATGAAAGTTTATAGCATGAAGGTCAATTTTGGAAAAATTCAGTTTTTAGATACTGTTTGATTACCTGCAAATCAACGTTGCAAAGTTGCAATTCAGGCACGAAAAGAATAGTGATTAACGAATAGTCTTTAAGAATATTAATGGAGAGGAGCAGAATTTAGGAATTAATGCTTTGAAAATTATTATTTTATGCTGCACGTGGCAAAAAAAAAGTTTTTATTGAAGTAGCAAAGTTTGGAAATCTTACAAAAACGAATAAAAGGGAAGTTTTACATGTCTATACAGTACACAGTTAAACTTTTCATTCTAAAATTATGGTAAAATAACTGACAGCAGTCTGTCAGTCCAATCAAGCATAAAGTTTACGGTAAAGAATATTTTTACTTTTACAGTTTTTAAACAGTTTACTACAATTAGACTGGTTGGAAAACCATGAATCTAAATCTATACTGCTCTTTAACCATTTACAACTAGATAGTTTAGCAGCTATAGCATGGTGTTGCCATCTATGCAGGGAATGAGAGTATCGTATTCTTAGTGACCAGGGTTATAAATCGGGGAGTGCAGGACACTAGACGCTCTTCATGTTCTGAAGGGAATGGAGGATATAGTGTATTGTCAGCGCTGGGACTCTAAACACCGTTCTGTCGCTCAAGAGATTGACAGACTTGCTCTCTCGACTATAATGTAAACCTTTTTTTTTATTTCCAATGAGCTGCACAATCGGTCTTGCCGATAAGCAGACCTAGTGCGTTCTCCAGAGGTGGTATCCACTCTTTCAGGACCACCANGTTCCTTGCAATTGAGCTCGACTATAACATAAACCTATTTGCAAGGAACTAAGTGACTTCATTAGGTGGACCTAGTTGGTGTATTTAAGATTTGGTTTAACCGTATTATGTGAAAGCAGTTAATGAACGGGTTTTCTCACTGCTAACAGTTAGAATACAATTTTTTCTATTTTCATTTTGTGTTAATATGGCAAAATAACACTTAAATAAATTGTTATTTAACCATTTTGTCCGAGAAATTTGTATTAGTGTAAAGGTCTGGTTTCTTAGGACAAGCGCCTTATCTGGGCGTTAGCGGGACGTCAACGTCCCGTTGACGCCAACAAAATACTGGTTTGTTAGCTCAAGGCCTGGTTTCTTAGAACTAGCGCCTTATCTGGGCGTCAGCGGAAAGTTGACGTAGAGCTGACGCCAAAAAAATACTTTTTTGTTAGCTCAGCGTGAGCAGTCGGTCCAACGCAGACATTATCTCTCATTGCGCATGCGTTAATAACGTAAACAAATATTTATTTTGAATTTGTATTGATTTTGTTATTGTCGACCAGTGTTTTAGAGAACAAATAATGACTTTGTCCAAGAAAAAACACATTATAGCTGAGCTAAATGAAGAGTGCTATGTTTAATGAAGAAGCTATGTTTAATGTCAAAATCAAAATCTTGGCTGATTTCAATGTGCTGTTGGATGTTGTCCGCCATTACTTCTGTGGTTAACGTCACGTTGTAATCCAACTGCAGTTGAGTTGGACGGCAATTGTAGTTCAAGATGAGCGCTCGATGACGTATACTATCAAACTCACAAATGGACCAATCAGAGGTTAGCGCTGATTTCCAACTGACGGCGTCCTGTCCTTAGAAACCAGGCCTTAAGCTACATGATAAGAGCTAGATTAAATTACTTACAGCTTGTCTACCACGTAGCTGTAACGAATGAATTCTTTCTCGGTCAAGGGATTCCGCAACGTCAAATATATCTTGTTGAAGCTCATCTGCATATCTCTGAACCAAGGCCGGTGGTATACCACAAAAGCCAGTCTGCAATAAAAGAAAGAGATGCTTTCTTTAAAAAAAATAATGGATCGTTTCCGAACATACCCAAACATAATATTCCATTATCACAGTGATTAAAATAGAAGTAAATTAATATTTAAGGGCGGAAAAAGGTAAAATATTAATAGAAGCTGGATGAATCATAATCACTAGAAGCTGGATTAAAAATATTAAATAAAACTGTTTAATTGACAGAGGAAACTGATAGCAGTTGAAATTTGACTAGTAAAAAGTAATTAAGGATTCGTCACGTGGTCAAAATGGTTTCGATGCTTAAAAAAAATTTTTTTTCTAGCGTTGTCAGTCCGTATAATTCTTTTATTTTATGCAATTATATTATGGTAAGAAACGTCGATACTTTTTTACTATATATTTGGAATGGATTCTAAAATATGCAAAGTGCGCAAAAAAAAGAAAACAAACAGACCACTCTGAATAACTTTTGATGTAATGATCGGATTTTCACTTTCTAGGACTCCATCGTAAAGTTTCGAGGGTGTTACTTCAAATATACTATTTAATTAGTGCATCCGATATAAGTTACGATATCAGACTCAAAAACAAATCTTGTTTTAGAAAAATACACCATGTTTTGATGGATTTGGATTTCTGTCCCCAAAATGTACGGGATAGTTGCAATTTGCGAAATATGGCCCCATAATTTGGTCAGGAAAGCGATCCAATGTTCTGTCTCCATAGTGCTTATTTTACATTTTGAGTATTGTGCCATACCTTAAGAACTATTAAAGTGAATTGAAAAAATTTAGCATATCATTATGAAATTCGTTTTTTAAAAATAACTTCATAAAAAGTAGCTTTTAGTAAATATTTAATACTTCTTATTATTTCATTTAATAATAACCTGAAACATTTGAAATGTAAGCTACACAATTTTTTACATTATCTTAAAGAACGTAATTTTATATAGTGAAATACAAATTTCAAAGCACATAATTCTAAATAAATAAAAAAAATCAAATTCTAAATATACGATATTTTAAAAATTAGCTATCTCAGATACCATTCGAATGATTTCTCCCTAATTTTGAATTTTTTTATGAAATTGCATTTTTCAAAAAGGTGTAAAAATTTTATGTCAGGCAATTCTTTTTTTTCTTTCAACTATTATTAAATGAAATGTTAAAAAATGATAAATATTTACTGCAAGATGTTTTTGTATGAGATATATTTGGATAAACGAATTTCATAGCAGTGAGCAAATATCTTTCAATTCACTTAAAAAGTTCTAGAGTTATGGCAAAATATGCAAAAAATAAAATTAACATTATCGGGTCCAAACTTTGGACCGCTCTCTTGACCAAACTATGGGGCCCATGTTTGCCAGATTACGGCTACTTCCTACATACGTCTTATATCTTGGGGGTTAGAAATCTGAGTCCATCATAATAATTGTGTATTTATTCCGAGGAAGCACGTTTTTGTGTGGGATTTCGTGTCTTAAAATATCGTCTCTACTAATTAATTAGCATATTTGAGGTCAATCTGTCGTACCCTTAAACTTGAGTCCTAAAAATTGAAGATCCGATCATTACATCTAAAGTCATGCAGGGTATTTTATTTTCCACACATACATATGGAACAATCTCTATAGTTCTTTAAAGTTTTTCTTAAAAATTTTTTTAATTTTTCATTTCTTTATTTCCAATGGCAAGGCAAAAAGGTACAATTAGAAAGATGAAATAAATAGCGAATACAAATGCACGTCGAATAACAAGGAAAGAAGACCGAAGTCATTGCCTTAAAAGTTCTCTTGCTTCCCAATATCTTGAGGACTCAGTGTGTCCATGAAGGGCCCCACATAGAAGCAGGTAGTCCCTACCCAATTTCTCTCCAGATTTACAAAGTGGACAAAAAGTCGTGGTGGAAAGGCCTATGCTGTATAAGTGAGCAGAAAGACAATCGTGGCCTGTATATAAGCGGAAGGCCGCAACTGCATCACGTCTTGGTTTGTCAGGAATTAAGTTCTTTAAAGCTATATAAATATATTTATCACTAGTTTTTAATATTTACCTTATCACTGTAGGGTTCTGTGCATAAATCAATGAGCTCATCTTGAAGTTTCTTTGCCACGAAATAGTCTAGGGTAGAAAAATACTGAGGTGGACACTGTAGCAGAATTTGAGAATTTTCACGTCTCCTCCTAGACTTTTTTGACTTCTTCTCTGACTTTATTGGATTAGTATCAGCCACTTGATACAGGAGGAAATCATTACTTAAACTGTCTCTAGTCTTGCGAGGCAATGTCAAAGACTTACCACCATTTTTCTGACTAGCGGAAGAAGACTTGCGATACTCTATTTCCTGAGGTGGGTTCACATAGCCATTAAACTCTGATTCGGGGCTCACACCGAAAGGTTCGTGATCTGGGTTATAAGCCTGGATTTGGTCTTTTAGCTTTTTCCTTGATGACTCCATTAAATATCTCTCCTCTTTGGTGAGGTAAGCTCCACTGCTGGGATAAACAGCTCCATTCATGTGGTGGTTCAAAACTTGACCAGATACAGGAAGATCAGAAAATTTCTCTAAATAGTTTACATGCGAAAAAAATTGTTCTTTAATGGGCGAGTCTATAATAAGTCCTGCTCTCGAAATGTAGAGTTGTTCTGAATAAGCGCTTATACCATTCCCGTATGAATAGTGTATTTTTTCTTTCGATTGGAGGTCTGAGTAGAAACAAAATTTGTCCGGCGTTTCCTGCAGAGGGATATTTAATATATCCCTCTTTTTTTCCAAATCAAATTGCTGCTTAGTGTCACTGCAATTTGGTTTCGATCTAGAAACAGAGGGTAATCCATGATCTAAATTATTGGTCTCAATATTTCTATACTGAGATTCGAGATTTGACTTAATAGAGTTCGATAGATGCGTTTTGTAAGTGGGAGGTAAGTTGATAGAACGAAGATCACTTTCTTTTCTACCTGCTGAAAAGCGTCTGGGACTAGGAATCATGTCCTGGCAAGTTCTCTGATGTGTGAATAAAGGTGCTTCATCACATGCGTGGCTGTTAATAAAACCTAAAAAAAAAATAATAAATAATTACTTTTTTGCTTATATCACTAAAATTATCAAAGATTTAGTTAGGAATTAAAAATATTTTTTTAGCAGATATATCGGCATTTCCTTTTTTTTTATAATTATGATGCATTAAAAGGTAGGAAGTGCAATTTTTTGATAAAAGTATGTAATTCTTACCGATTGCCAATCTACTGTTAATAAGTTTCAAGAATTTTGAACAAAACCAGCAAAAAAAGATATTGTTCTTAGACAAATAATAATGCAAGTACTCATCGTAGTAATTCACATTATCGTAAATTTTAACCGGTTCTTATTATTCTTCACTCCAGTTTATAAAATGCCTAAAAAACTGCTAGAAAGTAGAAAAGAAATATTATGTATTCTTAATTTCATAGAATGGCTAATTTTAAAATAAATGAAATGTTCTCTATGACAATCATTGTTTTATCAGATTGGACGAATATCTTATTCATATTGTTGATTTCTTGTAGTATCCCCCTATTCTCGTATTCTTCCGACTTTTAATCTAATAAAGATTCAAGAAAATAAGAGAAAAACTATCTTATAAGTTTATAAATTCATTGAAATAGAGTTAAAAGAATCATACGTATGACTCTTAAATGGAAATAAACTATTTTTACGTTACATGAGTGACTGCGAGATTCATGATTACTTTACTTCCGGGAGATACTCAAAAAGTATTTTTTATCGAACATTTGAACATTTTATCACGAACTGTCAATTATTGAAACATTTCACACTCACTTTTTTAATTAAAAAAAATGAGTGTGAATATTTTAATTTTTAATTTTTACTAATTTTAAAATCAATATCGAAGAACTGCAACATAACAAAAATAGGAAAAAAAAACTAATAAACCTCAAATACAACTATGATTAATATTGCGTAATCTAAGTAAGTAAATGCGTTATAATGAAATCGAGAGAATGGTACTTTAAATGTAGGTCTACATAACCTTTTACAACCCGTATTGTATCGTATTTGTATTATAAGTGATTTCAGGGCCACGCATGCCTTGTAATTTTGAACCAAATCCAGAAGACAAAGGAACTTCCTGGATCAAGTATGGGGAGAAATGTGACTTCGTGGAGGACTTTTTTATGGAATTAAACTGCATTTGCGTTACATGGAGTGGAAAATCAGGCAAACCTCTCACTGTTAGCCTTACTGTGAGGAGGCTCCAACCATTATCCGTCAAAAATTGAGGATATTTTTACGTCCGCACTGTGGTTGGTGCGAACCGGGTTCGGAATTCGTATCGACCTGCTCTTGTTGAGATTGAACCCGGGTCATCTCATCGGGAGGCACGTGCTCCATCACATGAGCCATTACGGTTCCTGCAATTGATATTGACACAAAATAAATTTTTTTTAATAATGTTCTTAAAAATTTTTTTAGCATACGTAGGTGTTTAGGAAAATATTGATGTCCATTTTTTTAAATTTAAATCAATATTAAAGATCTGCTTCGCACCAAAAATTAATATATTGTCCGCCAAATGATTCCGACGAATGCAGCTATTAATAATATTGCGTAAACAAAATAACGAAATCGAGAGTGGGAGGTTTCAAATATACGACTACGAAGCTCATTACAACTCATCACTTATCATATTTGCACACAAAGATTTTGTAATTTTAGCGAGTATCAGATTTTGAACAGATGACACAATCCTAAGTTTATGACTATCAATATTCAACTCCGTAAGCTAATAGTTATGAACACTATTCAGAAGACAAAGGAACTCTTGGATTAAACATTGGAACAAATTTCTCTTTGTGGAGGACTTTATGTTGGAAGTAACACGCACTTGCGTTAAATGGCGAGGGAAAATTAAAATGACTTTTGTTTTTAAAAGAGTGTATTGCATTTTAATTGCATCATTAACAGCTTTATAAAACTTCTTATACAGTAAAAGCATGTTTTAAATACAATGTTATTCGATGTATTGGTGTTATTATTATTTCATTAATTTACCTGTATTTTGATCTAATGCATTCAAAAGTTTCATTCTATGTTCGAAATTGGACAATCCAAGTGAAATCAGCTCTTGTTCATCAATGTTTTTCAATGTTTCTAGATTATGATATCCGTTTAACACAAATACGTTCATATATATCTGAAAATATAAACGAATATTTCAATTAATTATTTTTCATTTAGAGTAAAATAATCGTTTGACTATGAATTCGTACTAAGTCAAAACAGTTTAATTTAACTGATTTAGTATATTAATGAATTTTGAATCGAAAAGGTTGTAAAATTGACTATTAAGGATTTTAATTTCCTGAAATAAGGAACTGATTTTTATTGGAAGAAAAGAATCTTGAAAAAATTAAAGAATTTATTTTCAAAATTGATACATTTCTTTTAATATTAAATTTTCAAAATTCTTTTCACAAAGCGCAAGTGCTGCAAAAAACGAAAAAAATATATAATTTAGGATACATTGGTAATCGATACTTTTATAACTCTTGATATCTAATCGGATTGCCATCTTGATGGTTCATTTTTAAAATTGTATAACAATAACAGACTAAATGCAGCTTTTCTTAATATAAATGTTTAAAAGATTTGTCTTATTCGTAACAATGCTTTTATGAAGAAAAAAATTTATTTAGATGATTTTTATGCAATTTTAGATAAACATATTAGTAAACTAGTGTCATTAAGTTAAATAATTATTGGTTATTAATTGTTATTAAATTAAATTCATTTTTGAGAATTCCATGCTATTATTTTAGGGATAAGGAATTAAACATAAATGTGTACGTAAACGTTGATCGAGGTGGGGCATAACGAAGTAAAAACTATTTCATTCTTTCATGGTCCTTCAACAGTTAATTCAAATTTTCTTAAGATTCTGAATCTAGAGAAATTGCTTGTTAGATTTTTTGAGTATTATTTAATCCGTTTACAGCAATTATTTCAGGAATATTAGCCTAAGCGTAATCGATCCGTAACACAAACTTAAGCTTTAGATTGAAATGAGTCATTACGAAGTATAATTTTTCCTATTCTTTCTGTTATTTTCCAATTTTCCTTTGTTCAGAATATAGATATATTGTGTTTTTGATATTTTTAATTATTTCAAAATGTGTCTTGCGTTATTTTTTCATGGATAACGTAAAACAAATAGTAACACGGACTTGAACTAAAGATCAAATTGAGTCATTATGAAGTAAAATTTTTCGTATACAGTAAAACTTGTGTAAGTTGACCACTTGTGGTGTATTGTTTTAGTGGTCAACTTAGACAAGTGTTCAACTTATAGAGGGGTTGTGTCATTGTTTATTTTTTCGCCTCCTATATCATGTTGCTATATATTTAAAAACTTTTTTTCACTTGACTTAAAAATTTTATTTAGAAAGTAGCCAAGTGAATATCTTAAGAAATGTGTTTAAACCTGAATGAACTTCAATTTGTTACATATAATTCTAATATTTTACTAACTTTCTTAAAAAAATTATTTCGTTATTATTCGTTAGTTATGCATGTGAAGTGCTTAATAAAAATAATCTCTTAAAATATCAGAACACGAAAACATGTAATTTGAAAACTTTAACAGAACAAAATCATTTGAAATTTATTCTGTTATTACTACACTTACAAACCTATTTGTTATAAAAATATTCCCTCATTGTTGTTTGGCGCTGTTGTTTAGACTTTACATCAGCCCAATGTTTTGAATGAAAGAAATGGTCAAAACCTGACCCCCTACAGTTTCCCCAGATTTTTATGCGAAGTCAACTCACAAAAGGGTTTAGATTAGCTTTTTACGCTATTTCACCAAACAAGTGAAATTTTAACATACATTGCAAAATGACAGAAAATTTTCAGAATTTTTTTTCCTGGCCAACTTATGAGGGTTTTAGAATAGAATTTCATAATACTCCTAGACAAAATTGACTTATTTCAGTGGTCAACATACAAGATAGACAGGTGGTCAATTTACAAAGGTTTTGCTTCTTTATATTATATAGGAAAAATTACGTTCTTGATAATTGAGGTCAACTTATGCAGGTGTCCAACTTACAAGGGTGGTCAACTTGGCAGGTTTCACTGTACTTCATTTCCCGATTTTCCACTGTTCTGAATTTAGATCAGTAGTAACCGACTGGGAGCCCGCGAGTCACATCCGGCCAGCGAAGCCGTTTTTTGTGGCCCGCGAGCTAAAATATATTAGTTGTCATTTTATTGTGAACAATTTTCGTAAAAAATCTATATTGGTTTAAAATACTTTTCTTTCGTTGAAAAAAAACCTAATTTCTTTCGTTTCTGTGAAATTTAACATCCCAACGGTGCAAAAAAATGTATTTCTCAGGTAAAAATCGACTTATTTTAACTTGTAATTCAACACTTTTGTTTTGTACAACTTGATAAAAATCTGAGAGTAATATTTAATGTTCCTACAAACAAAAAAATGTCCTATTTAAAATTTTGATAAAGTTGGGGTCCGCCATTTGACTGGTGTTTTAAATTGTGGTCCCGGCCTCATGTAAGTTGGAATACCCTGATCTAGATCTATTGTGTTTTTGACATTTTTAAGCATTTCTAAATGTGTCTAGCGTAATCTTTTCATGGTGAACGTAAAACACTCCTAACACGCACTTAAGCTTTTGATGAAAGTGACTCATTAGGAAGAAAAAATTTCGTATTCTTTCTTGAAGATATAAAAATCTATTCCATAATTTTTTAATTTTTTTTATTGTGAATAGATCAAAATCATGTTTTTGATATTTCTGAGCATTTCTTAACGTGTTTCTCGCAATTTTTACATGGATATTATTCAAACGCAAGGCATCAGTAACACAGACTTAAATGTTAGACCACAGAGAAGCATTATTTTTTAAGTCTAAATTTACATTGTTCTGAATCTAGAAAAAGCAAAGTTTCCGAAACACGTTCTGAATGTAAATGTTTATTACGATAAGCACAGTGTAAAAAACTCTTAATCAAATTTCGAAATAAAGTACTGTCCTTTTTGGTGCACGATCCATCAAATCCATTTTACCGTAAAATGCATCAATTTCATTCGGATTTATTTTCAGAGTAGTTATTTTTTAGCTTGCTATAAATTTCCTTTCTAAATTTGCACCTAGGACAAAACTTTATTCTGTTTAGCTAACAGTTGCCTTCCCCATTATCAGTTACTTATTAAATTTGTAGTTTAATTAGTAATAAAACTTTATTACTAGACTAGTTAAATTTTAATATTTAGTCCCATTACAAATTACCCCTTCTTAATCTGATAAGCATTTAATCTATTTAATATTAAATATACTAAGTCTCCTTTTAATTACTTTTTGAAAACTCAGATATTGGAGAAAATAGGTTACTTAAAAATTGCGTAAATTTAAAATAAATTTGGCCAAAGATAATAAATGTATTGAAGAAAGCATAACTAAATTTCAATTAAAGAATTTCCAAACATCGTGCAACTTTAGACTTTTGCTAAGTAAAAAGAATTCTATGACTTTTCTTATATTATAAATCAAAAATCAGTTTTATTTGAGAAATGATTAAGATAAAAAGTACGGTCAACCAGAGTGCCGGTGCTTTTTACCGTAACTTGATTCCTAATTTCTTAAAGTGCAGTTAATATAGTTTTAGTAGTCACTTTGTTTAAAAGTTATCATTTTGTTTCTTTATTATTATTGACAACAAACAAATTTAATTTCATTTTGCAAATTTTAATTTTTTATCATTTAGTAAACATTACCTGTAAATCCAACTGCTCCAACAGTTCTTCTAATGTTTTTGGTTGTTCGACTGTTTGCTGAAAATATGAAATACGCCTCTGTGAACAACGCCTTTCATCGTTTATTATTTCTTCCACATTAATGAATTTAAAACTTCCAATATGGTTATTTAATCGTCCAACCCAGTAACCGGAACTTGATTTTGCCAAGATTTCAATTATATCACCTTTCTATAAAAATACAAAAAATCTAGATGAAAATACATAGTTGATTATATTACATAAGGCATTTTATCATGTATTAAACGTTTAAAAATGTTAATAAATGAAATTTATTTGTTTAGATATAAGATTTTCCAGAATAAAATTCATCACAAAGTTTAACTTTGATTTTTGTATTTATTTTCAATGTTTTATCGTAATAATTACAATTTAAGAATCACGCTATACGTATTTTAGAAATAATAATAAAAGCATTAATTTTCATAAACTGATTAATATATTGGACTTCAAGTGAAAGGAAATGGCTATGTTGATTTTTCTAGGCAAAAACTGTTTTACAATAAATATTTTTTTTTGTACAATTCAAACATCGTGAAAAAGAAGCATTATCATGAAATACATTTTCATGAATGTAGAATGATATACTTTCAATTACTTTGAAATTGAGTTATTTTAGATCACGTTACAAAATTGACGTGCTTCGCTATATAGTGCCAGTGGAACGCCCTCTGAATTCTATTGCTATTCCATAATCCGTTTGCTCGTAATGCCGTAATCTATTGGAGAGATATAATTATATTATAAACTAACTATATATTATAAACTGATTTGATGAAAAAGTTGAAAGTTTATGTAAAAGTAATGACAGTTTTTAAAGTTTAAACTTTCTGAACATGCTCCTCTCGATATGTGGCACGGAAACCAATCAATTATTAATCGGTTTTAACTTACTGAAGAAATCAATTCTTATTAAAATATGAATCCCTGTAAAACACATAAGTATACATGATATTCTTGCAAACTATTTAATAAAAATTGCCAACTGAACTTGAAAATAAATTTTTATGCATTTTTAAATTCGTTTGCTTAATATTTTAAATATTAATTGGCACGTTTTGAGTAGCAGAAAACAACTATTCGTGTCAGGACAAAATCACGTCAACGGCAAGAAAGCAGAATAGTATAAAGACAAGAAAAAGAAGCAGTGACCAAACGAAAATATGAAAGGGATAATATAAAAGTTATGAAGTTATGAATCTAAGGCATCGTTTTTCAAAGGAGATAAATTGGAATAGAAAGCACATCCATGGGCTATAGAGTCGGATCAGTATTGAATTCACTTACTAATCAATCGGTATTCATATAAAAATTATGAAAAAATTCAAATACAGGGTTATTCATAATTCCCTCCTCCTGTAAACGCCAGTTTTCTTTACTACAACTGGCTTCAGTGGTACACGCTACTGCCATCTACCGGCAACTGCTTAAATTAAAACCTGAATACTATTGGAATAATTTCATACTTTCTTTTTTGCCATATTTGTCTTCGTTTTTTTACTATAACGCTTCGAAACCCCGGAGGGAATTATGAATAGCCCTGTATGTTCCACGGAACTAATGGACAGCTAAATGTGCTTAATTTACACCATTACAATTTCTGGTTACAGTTGGAAAGTTTTTTCAAGAATTCATAACATTGATATCCGTTAGTTGAGTTATTTATCTATGAAGATGCAATCTAAACTCTTGTATTTAAAGTATATACCATAAATCAATGTTTTTCCATACACAAACGTTGATGTAAGGAATTTGTAACTTCATCAAACGTTCTTACAATGAATGAAACAAGATTCAAAGGAGAATTCATAGGAGTAAAAATAAGATTTTGGCTTTGCAATGGGCCTCTTCTTGATTTTAAAATATGTGTTTACAAGAATGAAATACATTTTAGTGTGGAATTTTTAACTTAATTAACTCTATTGGAGGCACTGTGACTGGATTGTAGCACTTAGCTCTGCCATGCCACAGGCCTGGGGTCCTATTCTCCGATCCGACAGGATTTATTCATCATTTCAATGGTACGATAAAATAGGTATCAAACATACTTGGAGACTAAACACTGGAGAATCTGCTTTGGACTGACCACCCAACCGAAAAATCTGCTCCGGCACCCCAGAGCCAAAAGTCAAGAAAACTGTGATGGTTACAGTAGATCTTGACCCTTCAAGGACTGCCATACCACTTAGTATAATTTAGTTTGTTCTAGAGAATGAGAACATCACAAATATGCTTCATAAGTGAAAAAGTCAATTGTGCCTTGTGCGTCATGTGTTTAACTAAAATTGCCATTTTAGAAAGAAGAGTTATCCTGGATTTAACTTTTAATTCTAAGATGCTGCAGTTTATACTGTACCTTAAATGCGAGACCGTCTTTATCGTATGGACTGGGAGTATAATCAACTAGAGCCCTTGCTTTCCCCAATACCCTGTTGCATTCCATTGAAGTTTCTTCATCTCCTGAGCAGCTAAATCCATGATTACTGTTTGATAATGGGCTTGGATGATCTGAAATACATAAATAGTAGCTATGATATTAAATTATAACTTGAAATTAATTGATTATCTTCACTTGTTGAATAAAATTTTAGTTAATTCAAGAAATTCAGTTTTAGGTCTTACGCTGTTGTGGTTGAAAAACATCCTTTTGAATTATCTGAAGATTTAGCTAAAGTAACAATTTATACATTAAATGAGTTGGTTAATTATTAGTTGGCGCTAGTTACTTTTGTTCATATATATATATATATATATATACTACGCTCTTGAGTACGTTNTATATATATATATATATATATATATATATATATATATTCAAAAACCTTCAATCTTCGTGATATTGTGATATTTCGTGGTTTGAAAATATTTTAATATTCAAGAGGGCTATTACTTCAGCTTTTTTTACATGGTGAAAGATCGCCTTTTTTACCTCTGATGAAAATTTTCTAAGTCATTATTTATACACACAAAATATTTATTTTTACACACTGCACACAAAACAAAAAATAAACAAATAACTGCAATTAAGTATAAAACTGCGAAACATATAAACACCGGACATAAAAGTCACAGAAACACGTCCTCAACTGACGAACCGCGAGACCGCGTCTGAAACCGGTTTGCACTTGCTTACGTTCATGTGTCAATTGGTTAATCTCCCTAATAAAAACTCATTATATGCATGTCCAAACATAAGTATTGCACATAATCTCGTATAAAACATGTAATTAAAAGACGTTTCAAATGAATAAAATGTAGAAAACGTTACATTTATACAGGAAATTAATAATATAGCATCATATTAAATTGATATGTGTATTAAAGATAATAAAAAACAAGATATTTTAATGGTTGTGTGATGAAGTTAGAACAAAAGAGGTATGTAAATTATTTTTGACAGATTCGTTATAAAGCAAAAAATAGGAAAATAAAACTTGCATTTTTCTAAAAGCAACAAGGACCAATAAAAGAAAGACAAAAATCAATTTAACAATTGAGTTAAATGACCGAAGAAATGGTTGAAGTGTAAATAACAAAATACTCAAGTGAATAAATGAATTAATTAGAATTAAATAAGGAAAAAATTAAGAAATAAATAAGTTCCTCTGAAATTAATTCCTCTGGGGAAAAAATTTATTATACATTTTAGTGAAAATATCAGGAATAAACGGGATTTTGTTTACAAAATGTGTGATATAAAAGGAAAAAAAATCTAGTAGAGATTAAAAAAAAATGAATCAATTAATGATAGAAACAAAAATTACTAAATGAAGAACGAGGAATTAAAGAAGAAATAGATGAAGAAATACGAAATAAATCTAATGCACGTGTGAACAAATGAATATATAAGCGGATAAATGAATAAGGGAGTAAATTATGGGGGAAAAGGATTGAAAGTAAGAATTTATATACGAATAAGTGATACATACCACAGTGAATGCTCAAATAAATGAATTTGTAATTGACTTAATAAATGAACGCTTATTGACTGAAGCTTTGAATATTCTTCTTACCTGCATCAAAACGAGAGGAACTCATTCAAAAATGACCCTTTCTCGTCTTAACACGAAAAAAAAGATGCTACCTTTTGTAATTAAAAATTGCACCTTAAGCTCAATCTGTTTGATCTGCACATGTTTGGCGTACCAGGTATTTTATATAACCACTTTTAGACGAAACCATACTCACTTATTTGCTTGCAGCTAAGAAGAGACTAATATTTAATCGGCGTAAGTCAATATTTTTTTAAAGTCAATTAATTATCTATGTCACTTACTTACTTCGTATGCCCTTAAATAGGGCAGGTCGAGTTATGAATAAACATGTCACTTACTTACTGGATGTACTAACACAATCTTGAACTACGTCACTTACTGGATGTACTATCACAATCTAGAACTATGTCACTAACTAGATGTACCTGTTTGGTATGCCAGATATCTTATTTATCCACTTTTCTACAAACCCACATTCACTTATATGCATATTGATAAGAGAAGAGTTTAATTTTCAATTATCTATTTTGTTTCCTATTTTATATCCTATATTATCTCCTATTTTGTTTTCAAATTAAATTAATTATATGTGTCACTTACTGGATGTATTATCACAATCTTTTGCGAGGTTTTCGGTTGAATGTGGCTCTTTTTCCACAACAGTATTTTCATTAACCTAAAAAAAGTAAAAAGTTATTGTGAACAATTGTATATCTTTTACACTTAAGTTGAGATAGGGTTAAACGATTGCTGACATATATAATCATTTGAAATGGAATCTACTAACGTAAATAAGTTAAAATAATAATAATTTGTGTTTCATTCTGATTGTTATTGTTGTCGTTGGCAATTAAAGCAAGGGTTGAGATTGTTCTTGCTGTTTAGGGAGGCCATCTAGGGTCAATGATTTGACTTTTTTGCCACACACACTCGTTTATAGGGCGGACCCATTCATATATCCATTCATTCATCCACAGATCGTAATTTTGACCTGAACCAGAGAACGATCCAATTCAGTACCCTCAAAGGTATAATTGTTATGGGGACGTAGAGGACTTTATGACCCTACAGATTTAACGTGCACCAGTCACCATTTTCTACACTGGGAGTCTCCTGCCGGCTGAATTCGAACTCTGGTTCTTACGAACGTGAGTCCAGCACCCTGCCAATCAGGTTGTCCCACCCCCCTTTATTCTAGTTGGTAGTGCAATATATTAAAATTTGTTCTTAAATATAAGTGAAAGCTTTTTCTTACCTAATGAATACTTTGGAACACATTTTATGAAAAAAAAGTTCAGTATAGGAAATAATTAGATTTTATGAGCAAAAATGCATAGTTCTAATTTCATACCCTATTATTACATATATTATAATTATGCGTTATGATATTATAATATTATGTATAATATCATATTCTAATATCAAATACATTTAGGTATGTTATTCTAATATTCTTAAAATAAAGTCTTAGCATTCTTAATTAGCATTTGAGTTGAAAATAACATATTGGATACGCTATCTTTTTAATCATAATATATTGTTTTAATCTTCTTAACTCTTTGACGCAGATGGAATACCGGTGTCCCTTTTATACATTTTCATCTAATGCCGTAATTGCAAGCAACAATATATTTTGATATTTTTTATTTATAAAAAAGCAGTCTCATAGTGGCTAAAAAAATCTGTTAGGCTATCGGAATTATATTTGTACTAAAATATAAAATCTGAAAAAAAATTAGCTTTTTTATCATTCATATTTCAAACTATTATTAATAATTGATTTTGTAAGTTAAAGAATTTTCACTGATGAATAACTGTTTTTTTCTTGATCTAAATTAATAAGTGCAGATTTAAAAAATTATTGGAAGTGATAATTACGGTTTGGAAGGGAGCCGTGTGTGTAGGATTTTACCTTTAACGTGGAAAAAGATACCAGTGTTTCATGCATTGTTTCGTAACTATAAATTATTAAAGTGCTAAATATAAAAATTTTCACTCATTTTGTCCTGAATTATTACAAAATAATTAAAAAAGTATAAAAAATATGTTGAATACAAATTATGCGTCAAAGTGTTAAAAAGATTCATACTTTTTATATCTTGCCTTATATCATGTTACAATTATATATTAGGATAATATACTACGTTCATCACATTCCAATATCAAATATATTCATATCATGCTAATATTCTTGAAATAAGTCTTATTTTCTTAAATATCACTTAAAATTTTGCATTAGAGTAGAAAATAAAATATTGGAGGTACTATTGTTTTCAATAATTGTACATAGTCTTCTGAACTAGTTCCCTCATCTGTTATCTAAATCAACATTTTAAATAATTTTAACGGAAATTAAATCTTGAAATCCACCATCATACACTGCAACCAATAAAAGAAGATTAAATATTATGTATCTCACCATAGTTTATATTTATCTGTCAAAATTTTAATCCTTAAATTAATATCCACGACCAATCAATTAAGATAAACTGCTTCGATATCAACATTACATTTTAATGGCGCAGAAGAGAAAGTATTAATTTATCAGTCAATCTTCGTAAAATGTTGAAACGGTTAACGAAGGCATGTTATGTTTTCTCTCCCTATCTCTTGTCATTTTATATTGATTCCAGTTGCAAAATCGAAGACATGCCACCCCCAGCTGCTGTTAAAGGATTGATCAAGACAGTTTTGAAACTCGAGGGTATTTCACACGACGATCCAGTTGGATGCTCGTCGTTACTAGCTCAACTCACAAGCTGTTTAGATCTTAAAATATGAGGGATATGATATTATTAATTTGTTGTCAGTTTATGAAATAAAACTTCCAGACAGGAATGGGTTTAAAAAATGAAAGTATCATCTCATTTAAACCGTGTCTTAAATGCGAATCTTCGCAGTGAAGTTTAATCTTAGTAAACCAGCATGGTTTGCCGGTACTTTTGACTGCAATCAGAAAAATATGTTTTCACAGTTATTTAATTTTCTTAGGTTTAGGGTTGACGTAATTTTTAAACAAAATAAAAAATTTGTTTTTATATGAGTGTTTAAGTTCAGTCAGATAACGACTACGATTAGAAACTCGAATTCCATTATTCTTAACAAGCATTTGAAATATCTAAGATAGAAGATTATTTTTTTTAATTTCCAATGAGCTGCACAAGTACGCACTCATGAGCAGACCTAGTGCGTTCTCCAGAAGTGGTATCCACTCTTTGAGGACCACCACAGTGGGTGAGATACCGTTGGCCATGTTAATTTGGACGTCCAGTTTCTGCCACACTGGATGGCAGCACTGAGACTAGAAGATTGACGGACATTTTTTCCGCAATAAAAAATTTATGCAATGTATTTAATTATTCGTAGTAGCAATTGAGAAAACTATAACAAGTTTCCTTAAACATTTGAAATGTTTTTTCTGTGTTTAGCATTTAAAGCCTTATATTAGACTAAATTTTTAATATTGTGAGTCGTTTCGATAATTTTGGAGCACAAATAAATACAATTATGATTCATTTTTTATAGAAATAAGTGTATAGTGTTATAATCAAACAATCAATAAATTCAAATTTCGGATTGAAATTATTGACACTAAGCTTATTATAGTCATGAGGTGATGTTCATTTTGAAATAGAGTGCATCCAATATACGTGTTTTCATATGTCTGCGAGAAAAATGTCTCTGAAGAGCAAAATATTTCAGAAAAGAAACACTGATTACTCAATTTAGCCCTTGCTTTCAATGTATGCTGAATTAGTTTACGGTATTCAAAACTGATATTTGTGTCCGGATATATATTCGTTATGAATTTTAATAATGACGATTCTATTTCCTTAATTGGTTGCTTTTATTGCATTCTCCTTTTTTCCGGGCATTCACTTGCAGTTTTTCATACACTTTTCTGTCTTACATTATAAGTTAAGCGTTGGTTCTTTTGGCAATTTTTTACAAGCCCTTAGAATTGTGGCTATCGAGTTATGGTGGCTCAGGAGATAGAACGCTTGTCTCTCAAAGAAGAAACGCGGGATTGAATCCCAGCGATGAATGATCGACATTGAATTCTGCACTCGGCTTGCACCGACCAGAGTGCTTACGTAAAATATCCACAGTAGTAGAAGGATCATTGGTTAGATGCTCTTTACCGGCGATTTTACCGTATGAGGTTTTGTGATTTTCCTCTCCATGTAACTCAAATGCTGATTAGTTTTACCAAAAAGTGCTCCAGGAAGATTAGTTCCAATGCTTGATTAAGGAGTTCCTTGTCTTTTGTGATGGGTTCAAATTTTGAAGGATACGGAGTTTAACACTGCGAGTCATGTCGTTAATTCAGAATTGGATCGGCTGTTTTAAAATAATATACGTCGGTTATGAAGTAATATAAAGCCGGTTATATCATTTTATAACTGGTTACAAAATATACAACGTTTTTATATTATAACAATTTTATATAATAATATAAAATTAAATAAAATTGTGACTGTTAGTTTTGTTGCGCATTTTATAGTTATGGTGTGTCAACAGTGAGGTAAAGTGGTTGTGCGAAACAATATCTAGTTAGAAAAACAGAGTACCGAATGAATAAAGCAATTTTTTTTTTGTCGTATGCCTGTTTAGGCAGTGGGGGTGCGATTGTTCCTATTTTTCAGTGGCTCCATCTATAGCCAGGAATTCGACTTCTACCGCGCCATTCACACGGTTCCCAGCAGATCACCGAAGTCAAGCATCACTGGCTGCGGTCAGTGTGCGGGTGGGTGACCACTTGGATCAGTCTGCGTAGGGACCGAGGGTGTGCGGTATTGGTCCTCGTTAAACTGTGCTACCGTAAAGTGCTCGACTTCACGCGCAGGTCGTCGGGCTACCAAAGCGGGGTTGTCATCCCCTCAGCAGAGGATCAAAATTGTGATGGCATGTCTTCGGATCATTCTTCGGATTGTTTCTCAGACCATCGCCAATAGCCCATTGTGCAGCTCTAGAGCGATGTAAAATTAACAACACACAACCACAACCCGTTTATAGGGCGGGTCACATTCACACACAGAGGAGAGACAAAAAAAAAAGAAACATCCAAGCCTTGCCCGTGATTCGAACCCAGGACCTTTCTGATGCAAGGACAGTTCCCTGCCCCCTACACAGGCCGGCCGGCGAATAAAGTATTAAGAGATAGAAATTAATTTAGGATATGTTATCAAGACTATTTTTTTTATCTTTTTTCTTTTTTTTTATAAAAAAATAAGGAAAATTGTTAGAAATCAAACTATGCTTACTAATGATGCATTAGAATATTTAGAAGATCTTAGGCGACATATTCGGTGTTTCACTTCTCGCTTAAGATCCCTAACTCGACCACTCCACGTGGACGTGGAAGAAGAACTGTGAGGTATACACGTAGATTCTACCTGTTCCTAGAAATAAATTAGATAAAATATGTAATTAGAGAAAAAAAAACCAAATTTCCTTATTTAACTATTTGCTTTTAAAATATGTAAAAAAAAGTTTCAACCTTGACATTCTATTGTTTCTTCTTGAGCATTTTTTTACTCTAAAATGCATTTTAATCCCCTTTATGAGGTCTTTTCGGAAGTCGAATTCCGTTTGTTTTTACTTAATTACTAGTGCATTATTATGAAAGTTTGAGTAAGAAGTTTAGAATTGAATATAGAAAGTTGGCGCTTTATTTTTTGTTCTTTGTTAGTGTCCTATTTCTTTTGTTCTCTTTTAGTTTCTTATTTATTTTCTCTATTTTCTTGTTTTTTTTATAGGAAATGAGGGTAATAAAAAAATACTTTTCCATGGTTTGTTTTAAAAATTTTGACACCAGTCTTACCTGTTCTACTTCATCTGAATCTTCTGGAGCTGGTGGAGATAATAATTCTCTTGACGAATCTAAACTGGGGCTCTGTAAATAAATAAATCTTTAGTTTGTAGTGAAAAAGCACATAATTAGTTATTTATAATTAGGATTTACTAAATAATATATTTTCAAAAATTGAGGGTTCAGCATTTATGTTTATGTATTTAGAAACTGAAGTCTTCGTTTACTGAAAAATGTATTAAAAATACAGTTTCAGACGCAAGTCAAGATACTTTTTCTATTCACAAGACTAAGATCAGTGTTTTAAAATGTTTCTTTGTCATATTATCGCTTTAAAGTTCTTAATAAACCTAAATAAAATATGCATAAATTTTAAATTATTACATTGTTACCTATTGAATGAAACCTAAAGAAAAACTTAACATGTTCAGGACACAATTAAATAAAAAAAAACTAACTATAAGAAATACCGATTTGGGGTTTAAATTAATATGTTTTTTTGGAATCTGTGTAGGAAAGAAGAAATAAATTTAAAACTAATAGTTTATATTTCTTATGGAAATTCAAATTTATGAATTTTTAAAGTTGAATCAAAAGTAATTTTTAAAAAAAACTCTACTTTAAATTTACTTGCTATTTGCAAAACAGAGATTAAAAAAATGAACTTACTGCTATATGTATATTTAAATATACACTTTCCTATGTAACGAATGTTTTTTTCTCTCACTTTTTACTACTTTAATGTGTCAACTTTATCACTACATTATAAAACATTCAGTATGAAATACAATCTAAACGTTATAGAATGATATACCTACTAGCAGTATTGAGTGTAACTATTGTTTCAATATTTTGATATTTATTTATGAATCTAACTGTCGAAACAAAAATAAATTTTGAAAATACAATTAAATGATTTTATAAAATAGTAATTTTAAAAATATTAATGCTTTGTGTAATTATAATCTATTTATTAACAATAACTTTTAAAAGTATGTAAGATCATTGCAAGATTTCTTTAGTCAACAACGTTGTTAGGGCTTGTCTTATTCAGACTACCATACACAAGAAATAAAATTCCTAATATATATGAATAAGACTTAATCGTATGCACAAACCTTTCAAGTAGTCAAATTGAAATGGCCACTACGTGCATAATTCGCATATAGATAACTTGTAATGCTTCTGTTTACTGCAGAAAGTCTTTGGTCAGATAACATATAGTGCAGCTACCTTTTTTGTGGGTCCCGCAGTGGACTGATCGTTAAGACACGGTTCCCAGCAGATCACCGAAGTCAAGCATTACTGGCTGCGGTCAGTGTGCGGGTGGGTGACCACTTGGATCAGTAAGCATAGGACCGAGGGTGTGCGGTATTGATCCTCGTTAAACTGTTCTACCGTAAAGTGCTCGACTTCGCGTGCTGGTAGTCGGGTTACTGAAGTGGGGGTGCCATCCCCTCTGCAGAAGATCAAAATTGTGATGGCATGTCTTCGGTTTATCCTCAGGGATGTTTCCCAGACGGTCGCCAATAGCCCATTGTGCAGCTCTAGTGCGACGTAAATGAACAACTTTTTTGTGGATAAACCATAATACATCTATTGTTTGATAAAGATAAACAAAATATTATTTGAAAAAGATAAAAAGAAAACGATATTGAAAAGAAGAAGAAAAATTAGTCGACCGAACTGCGTCGTTGTCAGGGAACTGGCTTTGTATCGGAAAGGTTCTAGGTTTGAATCCCGGGCAAGGCATAGATGTTCTTTCATTCTATGTCATATGTGTCTGTATACTGTGGGAGTGACGCTGGCCCACCTAATATGATAATACTGAAAGAGTGGCTAGCAAACCTGCCCTGTAAATGCCTGAATTGACGAAATGTTAACACAGGTGGGCGTTGGAAATAAACAAAAAAAAGTATTGCAGACAACATCTTATATATTTAGTGGTCTAATTCTGTATCACATTTTCATACTACTCTAGCTTAATATCCCTAGCGGAAGGATTTGAAAAATATCGGAAAAGAAGAGACTTGGTACCGCATATGATTAAAAATAAGTCAAATCTATACTTACGTTTTTACTGCTACCTTTGCACTTATATGTCGAGTAGCACCCATCAGATTTAGATCTCCGTCGTAAGCTCTTGTCGTCAGCTGAAGCATCTTCAGTAGTTGGTGATATGGGCTTCGTCTTCATTTCCTCAAAGCTATCATCGATACAGGCAGGACTAAGACTACACATTATGTTGCCACAATCACCGCCACATGCAGTAGGCACGGTGCTGTCGTGGGGGTCGATTGTGGATGCGCTTGAACAATTTGCTGAGTGATTGGCACGTTCTGTGTTGGTTGATAATGGACTTGGTTCAATGGCATTGGGTAATTCGTTTTGGAGCTCCTTAACTGGATCGGATGAAAAAGATTTGGAATTGTTGGAAGATGTTTCTACGAGAAGATAAATTATTGTTAACTCTTTCGTAATCTTTATTTCATTCTATATTATTCAAACTTATATTTTTCATATACCGATTTCTAATAAAGCATTTGAGTCAAAAAGCTTTTCTTTTTTTTTAAATTTCCAATGAGCTGCACAATCAGTCTTGCCGATAAGCAGACCTAGTGCGTTCTCCAGAGGTGGTATCCACTCTTTCAGGACCACCACAATGGGTGAGATACCGTTGGTCATGTTAATTTGGACGTCTAGTTTCTGCCACACTAGATGGCAGCACCGAGACTCTATTTGGATGCTAAAGTGCACTAGGAATTTAATTTTACCGGAAATGCCAAGAACTAATAAGGCACTCCAGGGATCTTTTACATGCCGCATAATCATACGACATGACCGCTGAGGATTTTCTGTTGAATTAAAAAAGTACAAAGTCAAAAATGGAGTTTTTATATACAACTAAATAAACATTAGTTTGCAAACATTATGCACATATTTTAGTATTTTATTAACAAGAAATAGTACACAATAACTATATAATTCTTTTTTTTTTGCTTATATAAAAACGAAAGTAACATTATCAGAACCAATAAAGTAAAAAACTAAGTATGAAGCAGCTATTTTAAATTTCTTACATACCACCAGATAACTGTATAATTCGCATGCCTTTTAAGTGGAAAATAATCATCAACGAGGGTTTACGCTCTCTTGGTTAATTATTCTCCTTGTGGGTCCCAAAAGGACCAAAGGCCACAAAAAGAGAGAGTAAATTTTTTAACCAAGAAAAGTTAAATTGAAAGATTTATTGTATCATTCGATAAGAAATCCACAAAGATTGTAAATGCATCGTTTTACTATTATGAATGAATCTAAGATTTCATGCTTATTTCCGCCTGACTGTCCAATATTTAGTTTTAGTTTTTAATGAGAAGTAATTCCTATTTCATGAACTTTTTGATTATAGATCACGACCACTTAGAAATTGAATCCCTGGAGTCTTATCACTACCCCTTTATCCATATGGAATTTAGGATGGTTCAGCTTTAATATGCTGTAACATCAAAGGAATTAATACTTTAAATACTTTCATTGAAGCTTTTATCAAATGTCAATGGAAACAATTCACTGTAAATAAACTCTGCATCAAGGCAGTGAAGCATCCTCAGCGCAGCATCCATAAAGTCCATTTTACCATTAATTCAATTTTTACATCAAAAATTTATACCGTAATTATTACAGTAATATTTATATATATTTCATTACAGTTAAATGGTTTTAGAGTAAAAATTACGAGATTTTTTGTTCAGCAACATTTTACAGTAAATATGGATAATACGGTAAAAAAAAATTTTTCTCCCTCAGTGCCGGTACTTTTTACCTTACTTTGATGAGGGCTATTTTACAGTATTGCTTTGAAAGTGTTCAACTGTTTTACTCTTATTTTCAAAATGGATCTTTCAAGTATAGTAAGTGCAGCTATATTTCGCAAAGAATAATCATGTGCGGATGTTCTAATGGATGTTAAAATAACATCGCTTCGATAGAATATAAAACAGAATTTTTTGTTGGAGATATCACTGAAATGCGAGGGGGTTGCATAATATAGAGAAAATGTAGTTATATCAAATGCATGCCACCCTGAAACTGTTATAAGTTGTCATATATATTTTTTTGTTATCAATTTAGCAATACTATGTTTGGAATAAAGGAACATTTTATAAGAATATATATTTTTTTGCGTAGCATTTTAATATATTAAACTTATAGTATCAAGCATAAATAGAGCAAATTTAAAGTTTTCTTACAGAATAATTGAAATGATATATTCAAATGTAAAGTTTACCATTGATAAATAAAGATACGTAGTTTTTGTCCTTCTTCTTTGAGCCTTGTGAAGACCATGACATGGTTCTTCCCAATTCAGAAACAAGCTGATAAAAGATAAAATAGATTTTTTTTATTTAATAAATTTCATTTATAATTTTAATTTTTATCGAAATGTTTAAAATCATTCTAACAATTATTTAACTATAAGACATTAAGAAGGTAAATAAGGAAAAGGATGAATCTTATCCCATAAAAACAGCTACACTTCAAAAGAAGAAAAAAACCTTTTTGGAACGTTATTTTTCTAAATTCTAACAACAGAATAAGGTGCTCCAACACCTTCAACAACATTAAAAAATAGTAATTTGACAAGTTAAATTTTGTTTTGATATGTAAAAGATTCTGAAAAAGATTTTCTGAAAGTGCATTTTTACCAGCAATTTAAATAAATGACATTCCTTTTACAAAATTTTTTGGGAAAAAGCGTAAGAATAACCGCTTTTATAAAAGTTAGACTAAGAAGAAAATAACCAAAACTACCAGAAAATGGTAAGATTCTGGTCTATGGGAACTACAATAATCTCAGTAAGGTTTTTACTAAGCGCTTCTTCAATGATTTTAGTAAAATTGATAGTCTAATATGGTTTTATAACCTGTGATAAAATTTAGTAAATGGGTAAAAATTTAGAAATTTTATTTTGATATTTTGGAGCTAAATTAATAATTTAAATTTACTTTTAAGTTTTTTATTTTTTACTAAGTGTATAATAATAAGAACTATGATTATGAAAAATGAGAATTTCCGGTAAACCGTTACCATCTAAACGGAAAAATTACCAAATGAATGATTCAAATACCAGTTTTATTAAACAGAATTATGATTTTTTGACGAGATATGTCATTTCCTTACGTGTAATTTCACTTGAATGTTTTTCTACATAGAGTAATATCACATATCTGTAAATGAGCATTTATTACGATCTTCAGCACTGTATATTAAACTGCCTTGGTGATTTCAGCCTTATGAAAATTATTTTAATTTTATTTTGCTTACGATAATTTCTTGGAGGTGTTTCTTTAATAATTCGGTACGTTAGGATTTATGCATAAGGCTGAAATCACCAAGTTGCAAAAAATAATTTTTTTCTTAATAAGAAACACTCACTAAAAATGACTAAGTTCAGCTCACTTCAGTTAGTTAAGAAAGAAGGTAAAAAAATCAAGTATCAGTTTTTTAAAAAAAGTGTTTACACCTATCTTTGCGAAATGAATGCGTTTAGCTCTGTAATTAAACTAACTCAAAGGCAGCAAAAAATGTAAAATAAAAGAAAAAATGCTTTAAAATATTAAAGATTTAAAGAATAAATCTATAATTCATCATTTATGCTGTAGTTTTTTTTTAAGTAATTGATAAGTTTTTAGCAATACCATTCTTGTAATTACCATGTCTTCAAAATTGGCTCGAATGAAAGTCGAGTTTCAAAATTAATTAAAAATACAATAAGCCATGAACTTTAATTTTATTAATGTTTTGAAAAAATTGCAAAAAAATTCGAAATAAAACATTTTAAAACAAAAGTTTCTTTTTGAAATAAGAGTTTGTTTAAGGTTGTGAAAAAAAAAACTTTATTATTTCGAAAAAAAAATTAGAATTTTGACTTCTTTCTTTTTTTTATAGTAAGAAATTCCCAAGTATGGTTATTTTTTTCCACCACACAGTCCCTTAACTTATCTCTTATGTTTCAAAATTTTTAGAAATCACTTTTCATCAGATAAACTTATTTCAATTGGTGTACAATATTTTAAAATCATAATAACTGTTTTAATATTATATCAGCTGATAAATTGACCTTATTAATAACATTAAAAATATATCATAAATCGAAATACTGAGCATCGCATACTTACCGATTGCGGAGGTTTGGAAGGTGTTGATATGTGACTGTCTTGCACCATTTTGATAATTTTCATTTGCCCCTCTTCATTCGCATCATTATTGCCTGTTGATACATCTGAAAAGAGAAAATCAAATATTCTTCAGTATATTCCTTTAAAATCGGGCAAAGTAATCAAACATTTCCGTTTAATTTCATTTTTGGGCCGTTGTTTAACGACCGTCGTTTCCAGATGTTTGTGTAATCAAAAATGCATTTCAACTCTAGAAGTATGAATAATGACTAAGGTGAATACGGTTGCAGTGAAAAGCTATGTTAATAGAGTGAGTAATTTCCTGGAAGTAAGCGTTCATTATCAGATACTTCTATTGACAGAATAACCATAAACAGTGAAAATTGCATATGCAAATAGAAATGGAAATCGCGTCTCAGATACGAGAAAAGGTATTCGGGAGAAGTGAGTGTTTGTGTTAAGAAAATCGAATTGGTTCTGTGAGAGTGGGTTGAAGTTTACATTTTAAATTATAATAAAATGAATGTTTACTTATGTGGGGATGGTGATTCGATTGATGTTTTATCATTACATAAGCATTTACGTGGTAAAAAATGTATTACATCTCTATGGAGCTTTAACAAATTGGAAACATCACAACACAGTGCCATTGTAATTGTATCTGTTTACTAGGAAAAAGCAATTTCGATAATATTCAAATATGCATGCTGTTTTCTTAATGCTGTTAACTTTGAGAATGAAGAATACTGTTACACTGTCTCTAAAACTGTAATAATTTAACTGTAATTTAAACTTAAAACTATAACTCAACTGAAGTTTTGCTTAAATTAAACTAAATTTAACTTAGTATTTTAAACTTTGTTTCTTATTTAAAACATTCTTCGAAAGGGAAAAGTGGACCTCTAAAATCTTAAATACGTGCTTTCTTATTTATAAACTGCAAGAATTCCTTTTACAAAACGTGATATGCTTGACATTAAAAACATTATAGAGAACTTAAATTATGTTTCAGATCTAAGCAAGATACCTTACACTAAGAAACAATGTATTGTCAAAACTAACTGAATAAGGTAATATTAACCGTATTTTTAAAACTGTGGGAACACCAAAACAATCGGTAAATTTTACCGAAAGGTTTTGATATGTATTTTGATAAACGATGATGAAATTTATGTAATAATATGTGATGAAATTTCGTAATTTTATAAAGTAACACGAGTGCATTGCATTAAGGCCATTTACTCTGCTAAATTTAATTTTCAATGTTGAATTTTTTACTAAATATGGCGTTAAAAAATTGTGACTTACACCCTTGTGCAAATTTAATTGAAACAAACTTTTTTTTCGTGTTTTTTAAAGAAGATGTTTTGGGGTTGTTTCGGTTACAATGGGGTTGGACCTTTGCAGCCTATTGACGGTATGATGCGTTCTGAGCAGTACATTACTATTCTGGGTAAAAAAGTTGTTCCAGAGTTGAAGAAACGATACCCTGATGGAACAGGGATTTTTCAACAGGATTTAGCTCCTTGCCATACGTCCAAAATTGTCAAGAAATTCATGTCTGAGAATCAAATTGAGACATTGGAATGGCCAGGGAACTCTCCGGATATCAACCCAATTGAGAATCTCTGGGACATATGCTAGAATCGCCTATTAAATATGGACTGTACAACTATGGAGAAGCTAATCACGGCGTTAATTCATAAGTGGTACAAGGACACAAATATTATAAATGACTGTAAAAAATTAGTGGAATCCATGACGAATCATGTCCAAATGTTAATAAAGTGTCGTGGAGATCATATTATGCACTAAAAATGTTTGAGTTTGTGTAAATTTAAATAAAATATCATTTTCTCTTAGTTTTCTGAATTTATTGAGTTTGTTTCAATTAATTTGCACAAGAGCGTAAAAACCAATATTTTCCGGTAAACTATTTAAACGGAAAAATTACAAAACCGGTGGTTTAAATATCGTCTAACTTGGTTTTAATATCAAGAATTAATTCTTTTAAATCAGAAATATCACAGTGCGGTAATTTAAAAAAATAAATTTACGCATACATGACGATTTTCACATAATTTTTTTTTTTTAATTTGATTTTTATTTCCTTAAAAACAATTAATAAGAAATAAAATGTAATTTGCACAAAAATTATTATTTAGCCTCTATTAAATTATCGTGAACGTCCCCACTGCTGCTTTGAGTGTTCAATTTAATACCATGTTTTACTTTTTCTCACAGAAACCAAATCATTTAGAAATGCTAAACTACGAAAAAAAAATCTGCAATAAGTAATATTTTATTAATACTAATACTGATAGTACAACGGAGGGTATATAAATTAATCTAAGTGACATTTTCAATGGAAAAAAAACACAATGAAAAAAAAAAAACAGAGCAAATTATACGTATACAGGATGGCGTGTTAATGCACTTCCTTGTCCCCCTCCGAACTATAAAAGTCTTTTCTGTTCGAGGACTGTACTTCCCCTTCTTCGTGGAATTATCTCAGATCAAGAGGAGAGATATCCTGGACATCTTTTGTACGTCAGTGGTCAAGATTTATCGAAAACACATCAAGAAATAATGGAGAAGAAAGAAAAAAAAATACAAAGGAAATACAAACCCCCTGCCTCCAATTCAGAAAATGAAATAAAGGAGAAATGTAATAAATTATCTTCTCCACCAGACAAACTGAAAAAATGAACTGTTTTGTGGATCTATTTGAAAATCTCCAATTTGTATTTGCTTGCGCGTAAAACTGATAGAGCTCAGATTAGAAACATTTTTTTCCATAAACATTTGTATGAATTATCAATCATTTCTTTACTTATACAATCAAAAACGAGAATTGAGTAAAACGGAAAAAAATATTAATTTACTATTATTTTAAATTTATTTGATAATATTATTAAGCAAAAATCAATATAACATATATTTGATTACATTACACGGAAAAATTGCGGTAAAATGACAGCAGTCTACGATAATGTTACTTCGGATAAACATATCATTATTCTGGTGAATAAAACCAAAAAATCAAGGTATTTAAACCATTCATTTGTTAATTTCCTTTTCCATACGGTAACGGTTTACTGGAAATTCTGGTTTTTAAAAGTTATAGTTCTTATTAAAACTGACTCAATTTAGTAATATTTATCGTGTATAATTTTGCCTCCATAGGAACACCCAAAAGTTTGGTAATTTTCACCAAAGCGCTTCAGTGATGATTTTGGTGAAATTAACAATAATACACGATACAATTTGATAAATGTGGTTATATTTGCTCCTTTTGTCATGATACTTAAAAGATTGACCCAGAAATCATTACTCAATTAAATTTACTTTTAAAATTTGAGTGCTTTTAAAATTAAAATTGCGTACTAAATTACTTTTAAAATTGAAAAATAATGAGAACTAGAATTTTGAAAACTAGAGTTTCCCAGTTAATGGTTACTATGAATGGAAGAATTACCATATGATTACTATATAGTACTTTTGTAGAGTGAAGTACATTGAAGTACCGAGTGCAGTAGATTATAACATGTGTCTAACTAGAGAATGTCGAGAGATTTGAAAAAAAAAACTATTTAATTTTCAGACATATCAGTAACGCAGATTTTGATTAAAATTAAATAATTGAATTCACAATAAAAATCATTTGTGCGTATATTTTGCATTTTGTATGTTCTAAAAAAATTACATATTTTTCCTACTGCTTCAGCTTTTTAAGCCATTTCTTGTACTTTTGGTTCTTTTCTTTTTTCCTTTCTTTTTAAGTGCTTTGTAATTTAAGTCCGTAACATTAATAAATATACTTTTTCTAATTACATATTTTTATTTTTTAAAATATTTTTTTTCGCGAAATTAAAGTCTTGAATAAGTGAGTTTTAAATTAAATATATTCGGCAGACATATTTCTTGTTAGAAGATTTTTAATTATATTATAAATAACTATTAGAGCAGTTTTTTCTAATTAAAAACTACAAAAATTAAATATTAGTTAAAACTTATCATATTTTTTGAAGTAATAAACATAAATTCCTTAAATATAAGTTTGAGAAATATATTTTCAACAAAATATTTAGGCTATATAAAAAATAACCATATTTTCTAAAATTGACTTTAATATATAAATGAGCAACATTAATATTTTCAATATTAAGCAAAAGCAGTTTCTAAATCAGCAAAACAAATTTTCATAAACTATGAAGAAAATAACATGATTGCTTATAACTCATACTAGCACAAAAACTTTATAATTTTTAATTTTTCTCTTATTTACTAATTATAATTGTCATTTCTTCTAAATAAATTTAAAGTAAGATATTGTACTAAGCAATTATTGAAAAGCTCCAGTTACACTTGAAAATAGATAGACGATAAAATTCCTCAATTAAAGAAAAATTGCGCTTGCATACATTGCGTTATTTTTAGCTTTATTTTTAACTACTCATTTTCAGTATATTTATAATTTTCACTTTGCATTAAAAGAGTTTTAATTAAAAACTTTATGAAAGATGGAATGGTTTTCCATTATTTTTTTTTCTCTTAAAGTAGTAAATTAAGTAAAGTGGAAAAGAAAAGATAGGAAAGGAAAAAAATTAATTGGAAATACTTAGGAATGGAAAAGAAAATAATAAAAAAGACATATTTCTATGTTCTTCATAGCATTAATAACGTATCTTTCAAATTATGATTTTTTGCAAAGTATTTTTGCGTCAAAATAAGAAATGAGATTTAAGATATTCCAAAAAATTTCTTTATATAATTAGATTTGTTGAAATTTCTTTTATTTAAAATTTACATTTAAATACTTTATTTTTCAGCCACCGATACTAGTGAAATGTATTGCTATGTAATTAATTGCATTTGTTGCTAATGATTTGTTATAAAAATTAAAATGTAGACTTTTATTTTGATTTTAGGTTATATTTAAAAAAAATATGCAAATGTTTAAATGTGTAGATGTTTTTTTCATAATGCTCAAATAAATTCATACAATGATTACATTAATAAAAGCAGGAACTAAAAGAGTTCTTCGATTTAAAGAAAATTAAAAACAAACAAATTCTAGTAAAATTTTACTGTCACAACTAAT